AGTGTATCCCTGGGGAAACACAGAAACACCCCACTGGCCTCAGCACACACCAGACACCACCACTAGGACCCCAGCTTAGCACCAGATATGCTGCCAGACCCCCTAAGGCCCCCAGCAGCACCAGGTAAACAGCCAGGGCGTCTGAGATAGTGCCCCTGCAACCCCAGGAACAGAGCTCACTTTTAAAAGAGAGGACAAAAGCCAAAAAGATGAGCAGAAAACAAACAAAGAGGATCTGACCATAGAAAGTTATGCTGACAAGGAAGACCAAGAAACAAACTTAGAAGAGAACAACAATGTCAAAAAAACCTGTGGGCAAAACCCCAAAGAAAATGGGAAGTGTTCTCATAAGAGGTCATGTTCTTTTTGATCTTTCTCTGTTTGAACTCCTGCTTACTGCACTGTTTGTTACGGGGAGAAAAAAGCAAACCAAATCAAAACAAATGTATTCATTCTTTGGAATCATCACTCCATTATTTAGTCAGGACTTATTTGTTCCTTGTGCCATGTTATAGCCCAAGAGGAACACAAAGGACAAAGAAAGCATACAACCTTCATTCAAGGAGCTTAGTGTAGGAGCTTATAAATTTAGGTTTGATATCAGGGGAAAAATTCTATCAATAGAGCAACAGAAAGGATAACAGATTGTTTTGGAAGGTAGTAAGTTCCCCTGATTGGTAGTCTTCAAGCAAATATAACTTCTTGTAGAGTACATTATAGACAGAATTCTCTCTAAGGCATGGATTAAAGTAGGTAGAGATAGGGGCAGGTAGGTGGTGGAGTGGATAGAGCACCAGCCTTGGATTCAGGAGGACCTGAGTTTAAATCTGGCCTCAGACACATGACACTTACTAGCTGTGTGACCCTGGGCAAGTTACTTAACCCCATTGCCTAGCCAAAATACACACACACACACACACACACGCACACACACACACACACACACACACACACACATATATGGTAGAGATAGTCATGAGATTCTTTCCAGCTCTTGAAATTCTGATTCAGTGATTCTTTTTACATGATAAATATCTAGTTAGGTGACATAGATTATCTGGTTAGATGTCATATACATACATACATATACATATGTGTGTTTATGTATACACACACACACACACACACACACACACACACACACACACACACCATTCCCTTCTTCCCCCACAGCCAACTTTGATTTTTCTCCCAATATTTTCATCATAAGAGATAAATGATATACTTTTAATTAAACATAGATTGTGATATCTACACTCCGAATATGTTATGACAGTGATGACTTGTATTGGATAGGAGAGGAAAGACTAAAGGAAGAATGCAGTTACTTGGAATCTAACAAGTTCATTCTGACATATGATATGCATTTTTATCATCATCGGTGCTTCTATCTTAAGAGGTTTATACACTCATCATCAAACCAGATTTGGGGTATCATCTGTCTTCATATGATGCTCTATACCTCGTGATAATTCTTCTGCTAAAGTAAAAAGTTTGATCATCCAATCAGTGCTGCATAATGGATAGAGTGATGAGCTTTGGGTCAGAAAGGCCTAGAGTCAGATTCTGCCTGTGGCACTTGCTATAGCTGGATGACCCTAAATAAGTCACTGAACTACTCTGTTTTCTCATCTATAAAATGGACATAATAAGACCTATAATATCTCCATCAGAGGGGTGTTGTCAAGATTGAATTGAGATCATGTATCAGAGCTCTTTGCAAACCATAAGTACTACTATATAAATGTCGAACCAGTATTATTTAGTGAGCTTTGTAGTACTAGACGTTGTAGAAATGCATCCAGGCATTGCATAGCAACAGTTTTCTGGATTTAAGCAATGGTTTGTTCTCCTGTATGGATTATTTTAGATGATTTTGAGTTCTAAATTTAATCATTTTCATTTTCTCTTAAATGCATCATCCCTCAAAATAAAATTTTGATAAATGGAGGCACCCCTGACTTGACTTCCTTGTTAAATGTTCTGTAGTGGGAAACCCGCATTCCTAGGTGCAGGATTCTGGGATGTCACAGGGAAACCTAAACACTGACATCCAAAGAATTTCCCTCTCATCTTGAGATGAAAGATGCTTCTCTCTAGTTCTGAAAAAATATGACCGGAAAATAGAAGCAGCAAGAGAGACTAATTAGAGATCAGTTGGAGTAATTGGGGAATTTAAAATCTTTTCATCTTTTTGTCACAGATGGGCAAAACTGCTCACCAGGTCAGCTTAAAGAAATGGATAAAAATCCATTTGAGAACAAGCATCTTACAAACAAATGAAATCAATTAAAAAGAACAATTCTACACTGTTTCCCACTTTTATTTCCCATAGACACAATTAGCCATTAGCTATCTGGGTCTGGTCCCCTTGCTGCCTGAAAAGTTCTGGCTGTACATGGTCTTCATATGATCCAGGTAAACCACACCCACTTGGGAGAAGAAAGTGAACGTCTCACTTTGGGGATATCCATTGTACTCTCCCACAAGGGGACCATTTAAACATTGAACATCTTTACTAAATTTGTTCCCATGGTGCTTATAAAATTATAAAATACTGTTCCATGCACTTAGTACAATATGATGGGGATGATAAATGTATAATAGTGAGAGAATGTGACCTAGGAAATATATGAAGTCCGTTGTATGGCAGAACTTATCTCAGGTTCTCTTTAAAGACCACAGCAGGGGAAAGCCCCAAAGAATCTTTTCCTCTCAAACCCAGGATCCTTAGTCTTCTTACCTCGCCTTCCCCACCCCCCTACACCCCAAGAGTTGGCACTTGTTTGGGCTTAAACAGAAATATCACATTGGAATTTATTGACTTATATTTGGGGCACATTTTGTACTTTGCAACACATTTTGATACGTATTTTCTCATTTGAGCTTCTCAACAATACCATTAGCTATATTCAGCAAAGAGAGAGATACAGAAAAAGCCTTTAAGTATGTATTTTGCTGTCTTAGAATCACAGACAGTAAAACTAGAAGACACCAATCAAAAAACATTTATTAAGCACTTACTGTGTGCCAGGCATTGTACTAAGCTCTGTGAATACAAGAGGCAAAAGACAATCTTTGCCCTCCAGGAGCTTACAGTCGAATGGGGAAGACAATATGCAAGCAGGTATATGCAGAGCAGGCTATATGCCGATAAATAGGAAGTGAGTAACAGAAGGAGGGCACTAAAATTGAGAGGCATTAGAGAAGGCTTCCAGTAAAAGAAGTGATTTTAGTTGGGCATTAAAGGAAGCTCGGGAAGTCAGTGGGCAGATAGGAAGAGAGAAAGCATTCCAGGCATGGGGGAAGCCAGAGAAAATGTCTGGAGCTGAGAGGTGAAGTGTCTTGTCTGAGGAACAATGAGGAGGCCCAGTGTCACTAGATCAAAAAGTACCTGTGGGGGAATAAGGTGTAAGAAAATTGGAAAGGTAGGAGAGGGCTAGGTTATGAAGGGCTTTGAATGCCATCCTAAGCATTTTGTATTTGATCCTGGAAGCAATAGGGAGCCTTTGGAGTTACTGAGTGGGAGAGGTGACATGGTCAAACATGTGCTTTAGGAAAATCACTTTGGTGGCTACATGGAGAATGCATTTGAGTGAGGAGAGACTCAAGGCAGGCAGACCCACCTGCAGGCCATTGCAATGGTCTAGCTTTTTCATTTTATAAATAAGGAAACTGAGGCCCTGAAAGGGGATATAATAATAATAATAGCCAATATTTATATAATACTTACTATGTGCCAAGCACTGTGCAAATACTTTACAATGATTATCTCATTTGATCCTCACAACAACCTTGGAAAGTAGGCGCTATTATCATCCCCATTTCACAGTTGAGGAAACAGAGGCAAATAGGTTAAATGACTTGCTGAGAAGCATACAACTAGTGTCTTAGAATGGACACATATACATATGTGTATATATGTATGTATAGTATGTATATTATACGTATGTGTATATACACACATATTTATACATAATGTGTATGTATGTGCACACACATAAGGTAATTATATATTTATAATTAATAATAATCCATTGCATCACCTATTGGACATATGACTTGTCTGAGGTGATGTAGTTAGTAGACAGAACCAGGAGTAGAATCTAGATTCCCTTTCTTTGACCCATCTTTAAAAAAAAGTAAAAAAAAATAAGAGCATCAGAGAGGATTACCAACTTGGCCAAATCCATATTACTGGTTCATGGAAAAAATAGGTCCAGAGTCCAGCTTTAGTGCCCCAGCATCTGACTTTTTTTAACAGATGAATCTGAAGTTGAGACAAGTCACACTGTTCCTGGGACCCTCAAGGCTGCCCAGTCAGTTAGCATGGGAGGAGAGGCTAGAATCTGCATCTATAGATTCCCTGTGAAGAGGGTCCCTTCCATCTTGTTCCCTTAGGGAGAACTCTCTCCCCAGTGTTCAAAGCCACACTCTGTAGAAGCAAAGAACTAGAAATAAAGTTGGTGCCCATCAGTTTGGAAGTGACTAAGAGGAAAACAAACTGCTATTTGAATGTGATAAAACTTTAAAATTGTTCAGTAACAAAGGACAGATGGAGAAAATTCAGAGCAACATGGGAAGATTTGTATGAACTGAGATGAATTCAAAAGAACCATGTTTGCATTAACTGTAGCAGCACAAATTTAATTATATATACATATATATATATATATATATATATTTCTCAAAGGAAGCCTAGGTCTAAGTAATTGAAAAATTAATAATGATCTTAAAAAATAGATGAGACACACCTTTCTCCACATGACAGTTCACTAGTAGGATAGAATGCAGATTACTATACACACTGTCAGACTAAGCCACTCACTGTGTTGGGTGGTTTGCCTTGATTACTTCTTTCTTACAAGAGAGGACCCAATCTGGGGAGTGTGGGGGAAAGAGAAAGGAGGAATTTCCAGAAATAACTATGATGTAAAAGCAAAACAACATAAATAAATAATACTTATTTTAAAAATAATTATTCCATTCATTTTTTTCAGGCTGGTAGAATTATCCTACGTTGGCCCCATCAGTTATCACTGGGGAGTCTTGTCCAAATGTTTGGCTTACAGCAAAGCGGCATCGGACCCCTTCGTGTACTCTTTATTAAGGCATCAGTACAAGAAGTGCTGGAAGGACATACTGAACAGGATTCTCAAAAGAGGTTCCATCAATTCCTCAGGCCTCACAGGGGACTCACATAGTCAAAACATTTTGCAAATCACAGAATGAAGGAAGATGCTCCAGTCGTCAGAGTAGAAAGTGGAAGCATGGATGGGGGCCAGAAGGGAAGACCTCCTAGATACTGAACAAAAACCCATCATCAGCTCACCACCATGCAAAGCACCATATCCATCAACCTGTGGCTTGTCTGCTTTCCTGAGTGGACTGTTGTCTCAGTGCTGCTTGTGAAAGCTGTGGCAAAGAGTGACACTGAAAGGCTTTCTGTCCTTCTTCCTGAGGGTATGATTTAGCTTCTAACCCCCCTGAAAGCAGCAGAGCAGTTGGACCAAAGTGTGAAGTCCCCCAGGTGGCCCCAGAGTACAGGCGCTGAAAGAAGGTGGTCGTTTATCTTTATGACTGGACTTGATCTCCTCAGTTCATTCACTAGCCAGCTGGGATTGTGCTCAGTGTTGTACTCTTAAAAAATAATAATCGTAGTGATTCCCAATAGGACAGATCAGACTTGCAGAAAGGGGGATTATAGGAACAACAGCTTGATTGAAAGTGCATCATCGATTTAGGTCTACTGTCATCCCTATTTATTTGTAGCTGCTATGATCAGCACAAATAATGCTTAATACTTAGGTTCCATCTACACTCATGCAAAATGGTTTGGGAAAACTTTTGAATTGTACCATATGATTAGTTGTGAACCTTGTTTTCTAAATAATCAGCTGTAATACTAAGTTTAATTTCATTCCTGACTCCCTCATTTCCCATGTGTATACAACCATCAAGGACTGGTTTGTTTGGGTAGACAGCACCTTAGTGTAACAATAACTCAAGCTGATAGATGACACCTTACTTTAGTCCCATTTGAATGGGCTGATTCTAAAGCTGTTTTCTTCTGACTTCCTTGCAGTAGCCAATTTGACTCTAATTTGAGTTGAGTTAAATTGTGGAATCATTACTTTTCAGTACTTCCTCCATTTACAATGATCCTAAGTTTTCAGGAAACATGTCAACCTCATCCTACCCAGTGACACATCTCATTTGGTACTTTAAAAGAGGCAGATGGGAGAAAGCTGGTTTCACTTTTTTCATCTTAACTCTAAACAATTGTCTCCAACTTTGAAAACAAGGATTGTTAAGATACATTGAGCTGTTTGCCAGCTACTTTTGCTAAAGGCTACCCAGAATTAAGCATATGGCAAGAATAAGGCTATAATTGAAATTGTCCAGGGAAACAAACCTTCCATCCCTCTCCTCAGTCTTTCAGTCTCCAGCAGTTCTGTCTTCACAAAAAAAGCAGAAATCAGTAAGTTAGTGAATTTGATTGGTGTAAGCCAAATTCATCACAAATAGGTTTTTTTTAAAGTTTTTTTTTACTTTCTAATCTAAATTTATTTATTTGTAGTTTTCAATATTCACTTCCACAAGTTTTTGAGTTTCAAATTTCTCACCCCTCCCCCCACCCCAAGATGGCATGCATTCTGAATACCCCTTCCCCTGGTCTGCCTTCTCTTCTATCTCTCCCCCCCTTCTCTTATCCCCTTCCCCTTCTATTTTCCTGTAGAGCAGGATAGACTTCTGTACCCCCATTTCCTGTATTTCTTATTTCCCAGTTGCATATGAAAACGTTTTTTTTAAACATGTGTTTTTAAAATTTTGAGTTCCAAATTTTCTCCCTTCCTCCCTCCCCACCCACTCTCATTGAAAAGGCAAGCAACTCAATATAGGTTGTACATGTGCAGTTATGCAAAACACTTCCATAGTAGACATGTTGTGAAAAACTAACTCTATTTCCCTTAATCCTATCCTGCCCTCCCATCTATTCTATTCTTTCTTTTGACCCTGTCCCTCCTCAGAAGTATTTACTTCTGATTACTCCCTTTCCCAATCTGCCCTCCTCTCTATTATCCCCCTGCTCTCTTGTCCCCTTCTCCCCCTATTTTCCTGTAGGGTAAGACCCAATTGAATGTGTATGTTATTCCCTCCTTAAGCCAAATCCTATGAGAATAAGATTCCCTCATTCCCGCTCACCTTCCCCTGTTTCCCCTCCACTGTGAGAGACTTTTCTTTTCTGTTTTTTTTTTGTGTGTGTGTGAGATAATTTACCCCATTCTGCCTTTCCCTTTCTTCTCCGAGTATCATCCTATCTCATCCCTTAATTTTATTCTCCAGATATGACCCCTTAATCTTCAACTCACCCTGTGCCCTCTATCTGTCTATCTATCTATCTATCTATCTATCTATCTATCTATCTATCTATCTATCTATCTATCTATCTATCTATCCATCTATCCATCTATCTATCTATCTATCTATCTATCTATCTATCTATCTATCTATCTATCTATCTATCTATCCATACATACAATTTTTTTCCTTCAACTACCCTAATACTGACAAAGTTCTCATGAGTTACAAATATCATCTTTCCGTGCAGGAATGTAAACAGTTCAATCTTAATAAGTCTCTTATGATTTCTCTTTCCTGTTTACCTCTTCATGTTCCACTTCAGTCCCTTATTTGAAAGTCAAATTTTCTGTTTAGCTCTGGTCTTTTCATCAGGAATGCTTGAAAGTCCTCTATTTCACTCAATGACCATTTTCCCCCCTGAAGGATTATACTCAGTTTTGCTGGGTAGGTGATTCTTGGTTGTAATCCTATCTCCTTTGCCCTCCGGAATATTATATTCCGTGCCCTGCAGTCCTTTAATGTAGAAGCTACTAAATCTTGTGTTATCCTGATTGTGTTTCCACAATAGTTGAATTGTTTCTTTCTGGCAGCTTGTAATATTTTCTCCTTGACCTGGGAACTCTGGAATTTGGCTACAATATTCCTAGGAGTTTTCCTTTGGGGATCTCTTTCAGGAGGAGATCTATGGATTCTTTGAATTTCTATTTTGCCCTCTGGTTCTAATATATCAGGGCAGTTTTCCTTGATAATTTCTTGAAAGATGATGTCTAGGCTTTTTTTTTTGATCATGGCTTTCAGATAGTCCAATAATTTTTAAATTCTCTCTCCTGGATCTATTTTCCAGGTCACACAAATAGTTTTCAATCACACTTAAGGAAGATATATAAAATAATTGTCATCTCTGATCTTTTACGCTTGGGCTTTGTAGGTAACATCATAATATTAGACCCCAGGTAGCAATTATATTTCATGAGCCATGGAATAAGGTATGAAACTTGTAATGCCACCCCTCCTGAGAAGGACTGACATCCATAATTAAATGAATTACTTTTACAATGAATTGTGGGTGCATTTGTATGATATAGCTAAAAACAGAAGAAAAAGGGTTGACCCAAATACCTGATTTTTAAAATAAATTAAAATTAATTTCAAAAAACCCCTTCATGTTAACATAGTACTTCATGGTTTCCAAAGTGTTTTCCTCATAATAACTATTAAGTATTTGTATCCCCATTTTAAAAAATGACAAAGTTGAGTCTCACAGATATTAAGTGACTTGCTCATGATCAGATAGATTAGTTACTGGAGTAAATGTTAGAACTGGGATCAAAATCCAGGTCTCTTGATTCCAAGTCTAAGACTCTTTCTATTACACTGTGTTGGACTGGGTACTCATGTAAACATAGTCTTTAAAGCCTAAAGAGAATTGGAAAGGAGGATAATGGTGGTTATGGTTAAACATAGAGAGATGAGTATATGTACACCTATGTGTATTGCATGTATTTGCATATATTGTATATATGTACATATAAATACAAACATATATATATATATATATATATACATATGTTTGTATATAATATGTATGTGTATACATATACAGAGAGAGAGGGGAAGGGGAGAGAGAGAAGCTGTATGATAGAGAGTGGGGGCTTGAACTGAGGAAGGCTCAAGGGACTTCTCTGACTTATGCTGGTTCTGTGATTGTGCTCAAGCCACATAAATTCTCAATGTCTCCGGCACATCTCTAAGAGGAGCAGTTGCTGATGTGCATTGGTAGGAGTTTCACCGTTGGGAGTTCCCTATGCCAGTTAATCAAAGGTCTTGTCTAATGCAGATACATATTTCTACACACACACATATATTGTGTGCAAACTTTGACCCCAACCTCAATATTCCTAGTTGCATTATCTACCTCATTTCAGCAAAATTAATTTATTAAATTTAATGCCATTTTTCAGGTAGGACAAGAAGAAACAGCCTACCCAGTATTACCATCCAGGGTTTTGCTTGTTGAATTGTACCATGTCACGAAATGTACAATCCTTACTTGTTAGATGCTGAGAGGTGGTGAATTGAGATGAAAAGATTTTAAATAAGAAAAAGATAAGCAATCAAATTTGGAAACCTGTATCTCATCCTCTGCAGTTAATCTTATTTGATCAGGTTTCATTCAAGCCCATGTGACTTGTTAGCTATGCTGCAACCTCAATAGTTTATAAGATTTTCCTTGATGTCAATAAGATATGGGTACACTAAAATTCAACTCATTGCCTCCCACACTGGGTAAGTTAGTGGTGCATTTTACTCCTATTTTTAAAATGCCCAGCTGACTTCCCAAAGGCTTCTCACTGAGAATCTTGGCTGTCTTTTACAATCAAAAATGGAGCAGAACAAAAAGAAGATCATTGAGTCATCTCATACCAATAATTTATCCTCTTCAGTCTTTATTGGAGCTGAGCATCATCATAAGCAATAAAGTTCTCCCCTTGTTTCCATAACATTTTGTTTTTCTATAATGATCTTTCCTTTAGAAAGAAGATGGGAAGGTCATAGCTAATTCAGTTTCTTTTATCAACTCCTTTAATTTTTTTTTGTGCATAAGTTTTTGCATGTTTCTTTGAAATATGTTATAGAAGTGAATGAATTGGACCTTTTCTCTTACTGGAAACAACCCATGTATAGGATAAAATAATCACCTGTAATTGTGATTATGACATTTTTGTTAGCTATTACTAGACATCCCTTGGATAAATTCAAGTGAGTACAGTTGTGAAAGGATGTTTTTCAATGTACTCTGAGGCCCTACCCCTAACTTTTAAGTGGTGCCAAATATTATCTGAAAAACAGAGGCATTTAAAAAATAGATATTGGCAGTTTCATTTCTCCCCAGAGTTCTTGAATGCTGCATATTCTAACCTTGTCTAAGAATCTGTTATGGTAATTGTCTTTTGGTGGGTTGAAATGGAACACTCCATGAAAATACTAAAAATCCACTTTTAGAGAGACCATTCAGTTTAATAGTACAATGTGTTCATCCTAAAAGATCAAAAATGTTTTGCCAAGAAATGAGGCTTCTCATCGTGGATTTCCTAAGTCATGATAGTTCAGTGTTCAGTAAGGATTTGGTAGGTGAATTGGTTATAAGGGATATAGAGATGCGATTGAATTGTATAACAAAGTGAAATGAGACTTAACAAACCATATTCAGTCCACCTGCATCTGACCCAGAGCCAAAATCCACTTAGGTGTTTTGGCCTTAAAAACAGGACTGAAAACTGGCAGAAATGCAAGCAATCAAGAATTTGCTGGACCAATTCTACAGACTATATCACTGAGTCCTGACTATTGAGTCAGGACTTTTTTCTTGCCGATAAATATCTGAGCCTTTAGGTATCTTTATCCAGCTACTTAGCCCCAGAATATAATGTCCCAGGGACCAGAATAAAATGTAGCTTATGAGATATGATTTCTGGAATGCCATAAAGAGATTCGTCCTCTACTACCCCTAACTAATTTTTAATCACAGGAAGGAGGTGATGCCAGTATGCTGCTTTCCTGCCAGCCTCCCACTCAAAATGGCAATCGAGATCATGGCACTAGTTATTTTCACCAAAAAAAAAAAAAAGGACCAACCTAGAGTGTTACTCTTCTTTACCTGCTATCTTGACAATTCCCAAATACACCATTTCGTTGACTATTGCACAGATTTTTGAGAACATGCCCCAAAATACTGGTTTGATGATGGTGTAAATGATTTAATCACATCATTTAGAATAGGCAATATCTATCTGAATTTACTTAGTCCATGGACACATAGAAAATAAAATTCATTACTATTCATAACTTCTCTAGACTTAAATTCATCATATATTCCAGAGAACCACCATTACCTAATTCCCAAGGATTCCAATTTTTGGTTTCCCAGGACACTTATTTTAGTTTGAGGGCAGTTCTTTTGGATTGCTGAAACATACTCAAAAACATAAAGAGGTTGATGAGATAGGTGATCTGTAAGAGGCTAGGTTAGGGAAACAAAAATGGTACCCTATGTAACTGCTAGGAAAATGAAACACCAACATACCCAAGATTAGAATATTAGAACATGGTCAAGTTTCTCTTTCTCTCTCTCTCCATACACATTACATACATATTGAAGGGGAAGAGGCATGGATGGAGTTTAGCCACAGAAAGAGGAAAAA